ATTCGGCCACCATTAGGGTTATTAGGTAGAATTTATTTCTCTCCTTTGCCTATAAAAACATATCTAGGGTTAGTTCTTTGGTGGTTGAAGCTTGAAAAATGGGGGAGGTTATGTTGAAATCTTTTCTGGATTAAGTGTGATTGTTGCTCTTGGATTTCTGTAACTCTTCTTCTCCTTTCTTTAAGCTAGGCCAGGTGTGTGTGATTTACCTTTCTCTTTAAGTTAGTGATTTCTCTCTTCTTGTAGTTGCATTTTTTCTTCTTTTAGCTACTTGTTACTATTGTTTGCTGGATGGATTTGTTCTAGCCCAAATGCTTCTCTCGATTGAGTAAAAAAAAGAAGAGGAAGGAAGGGAAAGAATGTTCATGCCGATTTTTTTTTTTTATTTTGTTTGCTAGTATTTAAAGACATAGTTTCTCTATTCTATGTTTTTTTTTTTAGTTAGAAAAAAAAAAAAAGGTCTCTTCTTGCTTTGCATGCTTGTTCATAAAAAAAGAGAGAGAAAAGAAAGGAGCGTAATGTTTGGTGGAACTTGTATTTGCAAGAACTTGCGCTTAGAATGATATTTGGGAGCTTTCCTTTGCTCTCTACTTGCATCTTAGTTGAATAATTTTCAAAACACGATTAAGACTATATTCTAGTTTACATTTTGACAAGCTTGGAAAGTCACGGTGCCTTATTTTTGAAAAATATGAAAGCTCTCATATTCAATTTGGAAAGTTTAGAAATGCTTTGGTTCTTTACATTTGAAAAATCTTAAACTTTTCAAACTTTATTTGGAAAGTTTGGGAGAGTGGGAATGCTTTACTTTTGCCAAATCTAGAAGTGTTTTATTTGGAAAATTGGGAAAGTTTACAAATGCTTTGGTGTTTTACATTTGAAAAATCTGAAACTTTTCAATCTCTATTTGGAAAGTTTGGGAGAGTGGCAATGCTGTACTTTTGCAAAACCTGGAAGCTTTAAGTGTTTTATTTGGAAAATTTAGAAAGTTTACAAATGCTTTGATGTTTTATATTTGAAAAATCTGAAACTTTTCAAACTCTATTTGGAAAGTTTGGGAGAGTGACAATGTTTTACTTTGCAAAACCTGGAAGCTTTAAGTGTTTTATTTGAAAATTTTGAAAAGTTTACAAATGTTTCGATGCTTTACATTTGAAAAATCTAAAACTTTTCATATTCTATTTGAAAAGTTTGTTCTCTTAAGCATGAAACGTTAAGCATGTGTAGCATAGTGGCGGCCTTTTTTTTCGCTTGTTTGCTTTTCCTTTCTTAAGTTATGGAAGGGACTTGCACTATTTTTGGGGTTAATTCGTCCACTATTTTTTGGAAATGTTAAAATGCCATTTTTTTTTTGAAAAATTTGAAATTATGACAATTTTGATTTTTGAGGATTTGAAAGTCTTTTGAGCTTCTTTCTTTTTGAATGTTTGGATTGTTTCATATGTGTCTTCTTTTAAGCACTAAATTGGAAGTTTCAAAACATTATTTTTATGTCATTTTAAATGTTATTTTCTTGTTGTCTTGAAAACTTCAAATATTCTTCTCGAGTCCGATTTGCTTGATGTTTTGGAAGTTGATTTGTTTATTTATTTATTTTAATGAATTTAAACGCTTCTAGACCGATTCACCTGCAGTTTTGCTCCTGACTTTGCTGATTTTATTTAAGTGAGTCGAACTCCTCAGCTTATTTGGTTTTGTTTTCCTTCTTCTTGCCAATGGTTAAGTTAAAAATGAGAATTTCTGATTTAATTCTATTCATGATTGATTCACACCTTAAAGAAAAAATGGGGGTAATCAGAGGGGAAGAAACTAAAAGAAAAACAATAATAATTAGTCAGTTGAGATGATTGAAACCCAAGGAGAAATATGGTAGCAAATCATTCGCCATTTTTTCTACATAAAAATTGTGAGAATTGTTGAGAATTGATAGAAAGAAAGAGCTTAAATGATTTAAGAAGTAGGGCATGAATTGAAAGATCAGTAGGCTATTAATTAGAACCCCTAAGCATTGATTAGACATAAGCCCAATCGTTTTAATTATGATTGAAGCACATTTCATGAATTTTTTGGGCAAAATTATAGGTTTACCCTCTAAGTCTTAAGAGCATGATATGAATTAGGTTTGATCTAAAGATGTTCGAGGATTAGTTAGAAAACACTTAATTGAAGACAGAACACTTTAAAACACTTCAAGCTCAAGTTAAAGTATAAGCTTCCTAGATTTTAAGAGCACACCCTAGGTGAGAGTTCATCTACTTAATTTCAAATGAATACTGATGTTAGACACCTGACCCTAATTCATAAGTTAGTTAAAGCAATAGACAAGATATGCACCAGGATATGATTCATGACTAATTTAATTAAAATAAATACGAAAATTCTCGTCATAACTTGACCTAAAATGAAACTCAATGCTCCGGGATTTGAGCTTGAATCTTACACTCAAGTCCTCCTGGCAATTGTGGGGAATCTAAATGCACATATAAATCTTCTACCCTTGGTCCTTGATACGTGACATTGTTTTTTGTTTTATTTGTTTGTGTCTTTTTCTTACAACTTATTTCGATCTCTGTGGGTCACTTTCAGTTTTTTTCAGGGTTTTCTATATGTTATTCCGTCATTTATTCTGTTATACATAAACACATGTTTGCCCTGCTAGCTAAATTTCTCTACTATACTTTTACCTGCGACACTAATTCCATTTACAGATACAACAATAACAAGAAACTCAGGTACCCAAAGTTTACAGTACATGTATAGTATTTTACTGTATTTTTTTATTGCTCTTTACGATATTTTTCCCTTATATTGCTTTTATTTACTGCACCTTATACTGTTTTCATTTACTCTATTTCATTATAACATAGTTTATGTATGCTTTAAATTAACTACAGGATCATCATGATAGAAAACTTTAGTTGGTTTACCTAGGGTGGATCACTATAAAACACTAAACCTGAAACTATTACTACATAAAGCATGAAGCAACTCTTCGTGAGGAGCACGACCAGGACGTTGCGGACGGGGGATGACAATCTACAACAGTACAACAAGTCTATGACAGTTAAACATTTTCCTTAGTTTAAATAACAAGCCATAGGATTCCGAGGTGGTTCGTCCGGCGCAACCTAAATCCTTACATTATCTTTAGGCTTTTGCACAACCCTGTTGTGCAATTATAAGTCCCAACACCTTTTGGGATTTCGGGTTGTCGTGTGGTGCTACATAAATCCTCCTATTTTCTTAGGTTATTTGCATGGACATGTATCGTGCAAATATAAGTCCTAAACTCTAAATAAATAGTAGGATTGAAACATTAAATAAATATCATTTTAAAGACATAAAACCCAACAATAGGATAGTTGGGAGACCACCAAGGTTTTTTTTCTCGGATTTGTGGTTTCTCCTACTCTTTTCTCCTTTGAATTCCTCAAAAAAATAATTGTTCCTACTCGAGTCACTTTCACTTGACTTTCCTGTGTTCTATCTTGAAAACCTAAACTTTGAAAATCTTGAAACAGAACCATCCATTTTAATCGAGAGTTTTCTTAAGTTATTTCAATCATTTAAGATGTAATTAATTGTAGGAGTTTGTCTCTATAAGGAACTTGAAACCCAGGTAAATAAACCTATCTAATCTTTATTTTAGGTAGGAAAACTTGTCGGTCATATGTAAAAGATTTTGCAGACCAAACGAATGTCACAAACCCCTTAGCTTAGGTAGCTAAGACATACTACAAGTGATATACTTATCATTCGGGAAAGTGTATTACTTGCAGTATTATGCTCGACCGTCTAAACTATCGAATATATGAGATCTATTTGGTCTCATTTATTTTCAAGAATTAAAATAATACTTTCTCATTTAGTTCAAAAATTAAAATACTATTTTTTTTTAAATCACAATCTCATTTAGTTCAAAAATTAAAATACTATTTTTTTTAAATCACAATTATATATATATATATATATTAAATTAAATCTAAAATTGATTTCCAGAAATTCTCCAGCATTTCAAAAAAAAAAAGGGTCGATACAGTATTAATTGATAATTATTCATTTAACACCAATAAAATTTTCTTATCATGTTTTTTATCTTTATTTTATTGGTTCTAAGCTCTTTATTCTAGTATTCCTTCTTCTAAGTTATATCAATAAATGTCTCAGTGTTTATATCCATATGATTAGCAACTATATTACCCTAAACAAGTATCTCATTTTGACACATTTGATTGATTTTAATTTTAATAATAATGTGCGATGTTGCAAAGAATGGCATTCACCTCTAGACATACAACACCCAAAATAAGAGAAGTTATTGATACTCATTAGGCTTTTATATTTTGTGTTGGTTGAGGATGTTACTACCTATCAATGATGGTCTTCCCTCCTAGATCTTAATATCCCTTTTACTCTGCATGCTTGTTGCCACTTCGTCGCTGTTGTCTTTCTAACTGGAGTGATTGCCATTATTTCTGATCTCCAATAATTATGAAAATTTTTATGTTGCTATAAACTACATATTTCATGTATTTCATTGGAGATCCAATGTTGGTTGAGAACTAATGCTTATTACAGTGATAAATCTGATTTGGAAATTTATTTTGTTATTCTAGAATGACAAAATGGAGAAAAAGGATTCATGTAGCCGACCCCACGTAGTGGGATTAAGGCTTTGTTGTTGTTGTTGTTGTTGTATTCTACAATGACTAACTGAACAATAGAGTCTCCTCCTTTTTCCAAGGAGTCATTTAAGTAAAAATGCTATATTATTCCCCCAACTCTTTTAATGGGGGCTAACATAGTTCTCACCGGAGACTATTTCAACTCATATTAAAACTTTTCAGGGACCAAATTGACGCTTTTTTAAACTCTGGAACTACAATGACTGACTCCCTGCAAAAAAGTTAGGGGAGCATTTTGACATTTTTCTCATACCAGCTGATGATTTTTTATACGGTCTTAGGAGCCCTTTTTGTTTTGACTTTGAATAGGAAAAAAAATTTCATAAAGTGAACTGATGCTTGATTCTAGCTTGATTCAGGATTTCCCTGAGAGACTTCTCTTGACTTACAAACAACCAGAGGAAGCTCCTACTGTTCCTGAAAATGAGGAACCACCTGTTGAAGATTTAAAGCCAGAACCAGCTGCTCCTGTCCAGCTTGAAGTTTCCTCTAGCCCTCTCCAGGAGGATGATAATGGAGATTTATTGGTAAGTTCGAGCGAATTTTTGAGGTCTCTCATCCTCCCCATCATCGCTGCCCGCTCTTCTAAATCTCGATTTTCTATGTAATGAAATCAAATTTTTCTGGCTTGGCAGGGACTCGATGAATTTAATCCGGCGGCATCGGAGATTGAGGAAAGCAATGCCTTGGCTCTAGCAATACTTCCATCCGGTATGCATGTTATTTTTTCGTTTGTGTGATAATCATAAGGGGATTTACATGCCTAGCATATGATTCTTATATGTTTAAATATTTAACTTCTAAACTTTAATATTTAAATGCATAACACTCAAGTCTTCAATATTATATAAAAGACACCATCATTATTAACATTTTACGCAAAGTGTTATATATGTAAATATCAGAATTTGGGTGTTAGATGTGTAATAAAGGGGATTTATGTACGGGCTACACAATCCTTAATATTTATATATTTAACTTGTAAACTTTAATGTTTACATAGATAACACTCAAATCTTTAGTTTTACATCAAAAGTATCACTATTATTACTAACATTTTAAAAGTGAAACACTTTTTCATGCATAGGTTTTGGCGTGATTATGACACTACAAGTATTATATATATGTAAATATCAAACTTTTGGTGTTAGATATGTAATTAAGGGGATTTTAAATACATGCTACACGATTCTTATTTTTTTTTATATATTTGAACTAATAATCTTTAATAGTTACATAACACTATAATCTTCAACATTACATAAAAAATACTCATATTACAAACATTTTTAAAGTGAAATACACTTCATGCATAATTTTTGTTGTGGTTATGACACAAAGTGTTATATATGTAAATATCAAACTTTAGTTGTTAGATATGTTAATAAATTAGAATTGTATGGCAAGCATGTAAATTTTTTGTAAGAATATTAATGATGATGATATTGCTGATATTAAATGGCAAGCATGTAAATTTTTTGTAAGAATATTAATAATGATGATATTGCTCTTCTGTACTCTCTGAACAGTTGCGGCCACCACCAACTCTGATGCTGAAAATTCATGGGATCCATCAGGCTGGGAGCTTGCCCTTGTTAATGCTGCTCATTCATCGGCCGTTAAAAGCCAGCTGGTTTGTTATATATATATTGGTGGCGGGGTCGGTGTAAGTTCCCTCAGGTCAAGGGTTCGATCCCACCATTGCACGTGGGCTTTGGAATTTTAGGCACATGACGCGGGCTCTCATCATAGGTCTGAAAAACGCATGGAAAATCGATATTTGGATTTCTGTCAAATATCGTTTTCCTTTTCAAAAAGAAATAGTCGGAGGCTATTATACGAGCCCCCAACCATCCTCATGTGTCTAACTATTTGAGGACAACTCTCACTAGATTCAGACTCATGAATTAAGAGGACTTACGACCTTCAAAGATGTTGCTCTATCAATAGGTCACGACTGGCAGCACAAAAACACACACACATATAAAATAAAGGTATTTATAAATGATAGAAAAGTTAAAATGCGAGTAAGAATAGCCGGAGGCTATTATACAAGCCTCCAACCACCCTCATGTGTCTAACTATTTAAGGACCGCTCTCACTAGATTGAGACCCATGACTTAAGGGGACTTACGACCTTCAAAGATGTTGTTTTATCAATAGGTCACGACTGGCGGCACACAAACACACACATATTAAATAAAGGTATTTATAAATGATAGAAAAGTTAAAATGCGAGTTAAAAATATAACACTTGTAACATGAGAACAAGTCTGACTCTTGGGAATTAAACATGTTATAATATATATATATATGTATATATATATATATATAAACTAAAGAATTACTATTAATTATAAACTTAACAATGACAATGCAAATTTCTTTAAAAATAAAACAAATGTAGGTGAAATTGCTCAATCCACATATAATTGTTATATTATATATCATAATCAATGATGTGATCTTGCATTTAAAGATTATATAAAGTGGTGAATGGTGCTGATATGAATTTCATTCTTTTTAAATATTTTTAAAAATTATAAAAATTAACTTTTGCTAGCGTAAATCATTATAAATTATCTTGTGAGCTATATGCAGAGATGAAAAAATTATTTCAACCAAAGCACCATCTTGTCAAATGTAAGAAGTAAAGTATAGATGTTATATATATAAATACATAGGAATTGTTGAGGAAGATTTACATACATACCACTTAGTTTCGATGTATTTACTGTCTAGCAGTTAAACTTCAATTTTTACATATATGTCATCTTATGCATTCATGCAAATGTGTATTTCACTTTTTAGAAGTCATAATAGTGGTATTTTTTATGATATATGAAATATTTGTGTGGTATAAATATAAAATGTAAAATTTAGATGTAATTTATATAAATACATAGGAATTCGGTGGAATGTAAATGCCGCAATTGTTTTTTATAGGGAAATTTACGCACATACCACGCAATTCTTATAGATCTAACACTTAAAATTTAATATTTATATTTATAACAGATTGTTCTTATAAACCTATCTATAAAAGGTGAATTTGACTTTTAAAAAGTTAGTAGAAGTGATATTTTTGATGTTACGTCAAAAACTCTATTGTTACAAACATAAGTATCAATGTTTAGATGTTAGATATGTAAATACATGAGAATGTATGTATGTAAATGCCCCATTTTGATATTACCTTCATCTCCATGTAAATCGTTTATTTACAATCCATTTTGATCGAAAATGTTGCGAAGAATATGTGGTGACGACTTTGATTGCGAGAACAATGCTTAACCAATTTGCATCGATTGCAGGGCGGCGGGTTCGACAAACTCACTTTGGATAGCTTGTATGATGAAGCCGCATATCGGCAACAACAACAGCAGCAGTATCATGATGTTGCAGCTCCGAATCCATTTATGGCGGCAGATCCTTTCACGGCGTCAAACGAAATAGCGGCTCCGCCGTCGGTGCAGATGGCTGCGATGGCTCAGCAGCAGTCTCTGATGATTCAATCTAATCCTTTTATGCAGCCACCAATATCTTCACAGCAACAGCAGCAGCACCCTCCTATCTTTGCAGGAGCTGAAGCAAACCCTTTTACAGACACCACTGGATTAGGAACATTCCCTGTGAACAATGATTATCACAAGAGCAGCCCTTTTGGAAGCTCCCAGCTCCTATAAATTCTGAATTGTGTTTTTTTTGTTTTTTTGTTTTTTGGGAAGATTTAAATACAAATCACTTAATTTCTATGTATTTACATATCTAATGCTTAAATTTCAATTTTTACATAATGCCACCTTATGGATGCATGAAAAGGGGTTTTTGGCTTTTTTTTTTAAGTTAAAATGATGGTATTTTTGATGTGATATGAAAGACTTGGGTGGTATAAATGTAAGAAGTAAAGTTTAGGTGTTTGATTGTGTAAATATATAGGAATTGGGTGGTATGTATATTGATGGCTACTTTTTAGTTTTAGTATTATTTTTTCTGAAGTATAAGTGATATTGGTTGCAGTTTACTGAGCTGAATTATTAGACTTTTTTTAAGATGAATTTGTAGACTAAATGGCTTGATGATAGTATTTGTTTTACCTTTAAATTTGCAGGAGATGAAGAGGAAATGTTGTTATAGAGAGGTAACGGCTGTATATGAAATACTTGTGCCGATTGCATTATCATGGAGTCGGCGTCGGTGGGCTGTTCTGTTAGAGTTTTGTCCGATGGAGAAACTTTGTGTTAATTTTCTTTAGTTTTTTTCACTTCTTTGGCTTCGTCGTGCTCGTCGTCGAACGGTTTGTGCATTTGACTTCTCCTATTTTGATTGTTTCGTCTTCAGTTGGCTTCTTTGTCGTCGTCAACATGCGTTGTTTCGCTTTCGACGTCGACAACTACGCACGTTCGTGTCTATGTCGTTTTTGTTTGTTTCGATGCCGACAGCTGCATTTCACACGTTCGCCTCTCCCTACTTCCAAATTTTCAGGACTTTGCAGTAGGAGGCGACGACACTTCTTTCGCCACTCACTGTTTCGACTTTTGATTATATCGGGCTAGCAGGTCCCTGCTTTGATGGCGCTCCCTCCTTCTGAATTTGGCAAAGCCTCTTTTGCCCACGTGATGGGTAATCCTCAGGTGGAGTCAACAGTTATTTTCCCCTCAAGCTGTAAAGATTGTCGGAATGATACATGTGATTGCCCTTTTTGTTAAGAATGCATGTAGAAAAGAGGGGAAAGCATCATTCTTTTTTTCTGACTTAGAAATTTCAACCCTTACTGAGAAATTCAAGTTCGCTCTTATTGAAAAATTTCAGTGGGGGCACCCACCTATGGAAATTATCAAAGAGTGTTGATAATTTCAAACTAGTAGATAAGTTGAAAGTGTGACTCATAGATGGGTGACATGTGTTGATTCAATTAATCGTGACCGAAGAATACACACGAATTTTCTCCAAAAAATATCTTAAAATTGCAAGCAAGTTAATGAAGTTACTCAAGTGGTCTCATAATTTTGACCCAAATTTTGAAATTCTCATTGTACCAATATGATTTAGTCTACCTAGTTTCAAGCTAAATTTTTTTAATCATCAAGTTCTTTTTCACCATCAGGTCTTCTACTCTATTGGGGTCATACTTGGGGACCTTATGAAGCTAGATCTGCCCACTTTCAATCTAACCAGACCTTCAGTGGTCAGAATACTTGTGGAAATGGATATTACTTTACCTGATGTTACTGATGTCTGGTTGGGCACAACTCATAATTAATATTGGCAACAATTCATCATGAAACACAAGTCTGCTTATTGTACTCATTGTAAGATGTTTGGGCATACCCTTGATAAATGTCCTAAGCTCCATCTTAATTTGAAACCTAAAGTTCAAGTGAATAAAGAGGGGCTAACCCCACTGCTCTGGACATATATGCTCTACCTGGGGAGGAAACTGCCACGAGACAGGATTTGCTGACTGATTTAATTGTTCCTGTGGACCCCCCTCTTGACAATATTGTTACTGTTTCTGTGATTAATGTGATGTTGGATGGCTATGCTGGGCAAAATACACCTTCAAACCCTCTTGAAAACAATACTGAAGGATCCTTACCTACAAAGGACAATGTTCAGACTAATAATCAGAAGAACCTTGCAAGTCCCCATCTTCAAGAAGTATTCGGTGCAGAGACGATAACTCATACTTCACATATACTAGAAATTATTGTGGGTACAACGATTGGCAATTCTTCTGCTACAACTTCACCACCTCATCTGTATGATCAATCTTCGGATGAGAAATGAAAAGTTTACACTTTCAGGAGGAAGAAGAAGAATTGAGATCTTTTGAGCTAAGGAATCTAATGGAAGATACTTTGGTTACTTCGGGTAATGGTACACACTTCACCAATTTGTTAACTATCTCTCTTCAGAGAATTAGAGGCAAAGGCAGGACTAGATTGGATCGTACCTTACTAGTTTTGCGCCCTGATGGTTTGGGTTTTTTTGATTTTATATGTGACCTTTTTTTTTTAGTTTTTTGTGTGTGTTCTATCGTGTGGGTTGGATGCCTACTTTTGGGTCCACTCATACAACATATCTGTATTATTTTCTCTTTAATATATTAGTTATTAGGCTTTATTATATATAAGAGAAAGCCCCAGGGCAAATATATTAATATGGAAAAGATACAGAAATATTATATGAGAGGGCCTACAAAGAAAGTCCAACTCATATAATACAACACACACAAAACTCAGATAAAACAAAGATACATAAATGTAAAAAACCAAAATGCTACAAAATTACACAAAAGTGCTAAGGACGTCCCACTTTAGTCCTCCTGCCTCTAGTTCTCGGAAGTGAGTCGACTAACAAATTGGTAAAATGAGTACCATTGCCCGTAGTAACCAAAGTATCATCCATCAGATTCCTAAGCTCAAGTATATCTTCATTCTTCTTCTTCCTACTGGATGTGTAGACATGTCATTCCTCATCTGATGATTGACTCATCGGATCAGTAGATTCCAAAGATGGTCGGACAGGTGTAGGTCGTTGCACGCCATGATCTCCATGAGCCTGAGTAATATTAACATCTTTCTGGACCTGATGAAGCGGTAGTGAAACAGTAGAAGTATTTCCATCTGTATTATCGGTGATAGGTTTCAGGGCAGGCAGGGCCAGAAGAAACTCCCTCTCCCCCAAGATAAGAGGTTTCAAAGACGGGGGAGTTACGACTGGGGACTGAATTGTTTTCATATTGCCTATGGGGATAGTGACGTCGTCTGGGGTATCCTTCTGATGATCAATATTGTCAAAAACTTGGAGCTGATCAGGAGGAGAAGGAATCACAGCCTCTAGCGGAGCAGTTTTCTTTTTTAGTCTGAGTTAGGGGTGTAGATAGTGACATTGAGAACTGGATGGTCGAAACATAAGACAATTCAAACAATACGGTGGAAAACATTCAATCTCTACCTTCTGCCAATATACATGGTGTTGTGTGCCCAACCAAATTTTCTCATAAGCGGGTGAAGTGATGTTTCTTTCAACAAATACTCTGGCTTCAGAAAGACAGGAAAGATTAAAAGTATGAATGTCCGTCTTGAGTTACTTTCCATAAGCTGAGGCAATAGTGTACAATACATTTTGAGAAAAAAACAATGAATTTTCAAACCATGGAGACGAATCCAAACCGGAATAATTGGGGGTTCAATTTATGGGTCAAAATCCACATACCATTTCAGAATCTTCATTGTTTTGTTATCAATTCATATTATCAATTCATCTTCATTGTTTTGTTATCAATTCATATTATCTTTCTAGCAAATAAGCGTATGTAATCTTCTTCTTTGAATAAGAATGTGTCAATGTGTCTCCCATCTAATAGTCTAATTTTTCATTCTCCAACAAGGTGCATAAGTTCAATTTTTTTGCGAATGAACTCCATTTTGAAATGACCATATATAAATTTCACAACCAAATACAAACGACTGGAGGAAGCAAGTTGAATTACTTCAACTTTTGTAAAAAAGATGGCAGACTGCTCATTCTTCTTATTAGATTTCTTGATGTCCTACGTCCACTCAAACGAAGAAGGGAAAGATGACGATTTTGGTGTACATGAGGCGTGGACACCCGCAAGAGCAGCTACATATGATTTGTCTGAAGTCATCCTCAACGGTAGGTGTGGCGTTCAGAGAAGAAAGCAGCTCTGATAAATGAGGGAAAAAATCGCGTAGAAATAGCCAAAGCTAAAAAAGAGAGGACGTTGTGAGACGGACAAGCGCAGAGAAGTCGCAAAACAATTAAGAGGTACCCGCGAAACGGAGCCGCAGAGCACGCAAGAGATACCCGCTAGATGGGCCGCAGAGGAGCCGCAGAGCCTGGAAGTCCCGACCCAGGAAAGCTCGTGAGACAAGAAGAGGGGAGACGAGCCTCATCTCAGAGCTGGAGAAGAAGTGGGGGAGACGAACGGAATCGAGCACGAAGAAGCTGAGGAGGAATCAGCGAAGTCGTAACTGTTGCTAGGGTTCGCCATCGGGCAGAGTTGAGCAGGAAGGAAGACGATGTCATTATATATATAAATATATATATCCGCAA